GAAGTGAACGGTTGGGAGGAGGGGCTGCTGCGGGGGAGAGGTGGGATCAGGAAGCCATGAATCTTAAGAGCAGCGGGAGGAGAAGGATCACCGGGAATAGGTGGAGGAGGAGTGGGAAGCGGGATGCGGGAAGAGGATGAGGAGATGGAGACCGGAAGGAATCCACAGATGCCATGAGGAGGAGGCCGAGGCGGGCAGGAACGGAGGTGAGGGAGGAATTTTGGGCCAAGGCGGAAGATGAGATGAGGGGAGGACGGAGGGAGGAGAAGGACCAGAAGAGGGACAACGAGGTAGAGGAGCTTGGAGGAGGCTGAGGCCATCAGGAGAACAGAAAGTGGTGGAAGAACAGCAGGAGGAGGGACGGGGGAGGGGATAAGGAGATTGACTGGAGCGAGTGTCAGCACACATCGTGCAACTTGTCGACCCCTTCCCCCCATCAGCCCTGTCCGATGCCAATGTGAAGTGGCGGCCGGGTGGTTTGAATGGCAGCGTATTGTGTATTGGGTGTGTGCGCATGTGCCCGCAATGAGTTGGGGTTTGTGACAGAGATTGGGGCAGCGCACAGCGGAATAATTTGCTTCACTCCACGGCCCTTTGTATCTGTTTTACAGGGATGGCGTGGGGCATGGTGCTTGGCTCGCGGCTTGTCAGCGTAGCCCTCGTAAGCCCCACCCCGAAGTTCAACCAACCACTTACGCCCAGAGGGCTCGTGGGATTCTTCACCAGGGTGAGGACGACCCTGTGAGGAGGACAGGAGGCCAATACAGTAGAACAGGAGCTTGGCGAGGAAGGGGGGAAGGTGGAGGAGGGAGAGGGCAGGTGTAAGCAAAGAGGGAGGACAGGGCAGGCTGGAGGTTGATGAGGAGGGGAGGGAGAGCGATGAGGATGGGACGAGTTCCCCTAGCGAGGATTAGGGATTGGCTGGCGCGAGGGCGAGCCTTCGAGGAGGAGTCAAGGAGGAAGCCTCTTCCAGTCCAGCGTCTCCTCGTCACCCGCGTGCTGCACCTGGGGCAATCGCAGTCGAGTTGGCCTCATCCTGCTCTCTCTGGCCTCCAGCGCTCGACATCCCCCCTGCTCCTCCTTGGCATCCCCACACCCCCGCATGCCGTCGCAGCGGGATCGCGGGGACTCCGCGGGAAGGCCCGACCGCGTGCGTGCCGACGCCTCCCGACCACGGGCACTGCTCCGGCGGCCGCGCGCCCGCTCTCCAGCAACTGTCCGCGTCCGCGCCTACGCGGGACCACTGTATAGAGAGAGGGCCCTCTCCTCCTCTTCCATCTCCTTCCTCCTCCTCCTCCATCTCCTTCCTCCTCCATCTCATTCCTCCTCCTCCTCCTCCTCCTCCTCCTCCCTCCTCCTCCCTCCTCCTCCTCCTCTGGTGCCGCCGGCCATGAAGGGAAGCGGCTGCGACGACGACGACGGCAATGACGACGGCGCTGACGCTGCGAGGCCGGAGGCTTCTCCCAGGGAGGGGTGCGCACCCCCCAGGAGAGGGCACGACCCCCAGGGCCCCCCCCCCCCAAAGAGCGATGAGTTCTGCATGTGTCGGCATGGCCACGGCATATCCATACCACGTGCCCATGGATGTGCCGTATGATTTTAGCAGCCTTCCCTTCAATGCATACTCCAGATTTCGTAACAAAAGGGAGGGGGTCACAACCCTCCCAGACCAGAAGTTTTAGACCCCCCCAGACCATCCATGAAAGGGTGGCACTGTGCCCAGACCCCCCCGAACCCTTCAAGACAGCTCAAATCAGACCCCCCTGCCAAATGTGACCCCCCCTACTTTATTATGGAATCCGGAGTATGAGTTCATCAATCTTGGGTAAGCGATACCGAGGTCAACCGCCGATAGGATGCGGATATATAGGGCATCCGCCTGATGCCATGTATGGCCCGCGAGAACTCACCTCGCCCCGAGGGAGCCCAGGACATGTCCCTTTTCCTCATCCCTTGACGTTGCACGGACTGCGATATGGGATAAAGCATCTAGCCGAGAAAGACAACATGACTTGTGGGTAAACGAGGCGTCTACGCTGTATGCTTTGGTCGTTGCTTCTACTGATGAGGGTGATGAGAACTGTGGACGGGGTGCGCTGTGTGAACAGCCTCGCGTTGCTTTGCGCACTTGTATTTAGCTGGCGCAGTGTGCGCTGCCGTGAAATTATCGAACGATTGGCACATTTGATGGTAGGTTGATTTGTCAGGAGTTCTTGCCGGCCAGTCAGTAATTGCAGCGTGGATTCGTTGCATGCGTTTTGATCTCTCAGATCTTTGCCGAGTTTGTTAGGGCTTCGATTGCATTCTCGGCCACTTTTTTTACCAGCATTGTCCATCATCGTTCGCCTCCGTCGTTGTTCTCATTATCCTCACCATCATCCCAGTTTTCTTGTATGCGAGGACGATCTTTCGAGAGCTGGATGTCGACGCCGACGGCGAGCTCACCAACGAGGAGCCGCGCCTTCCGCTCCTGGTCATGGTCCACCTTCTTATCCTCATGAGTCATCCCCCTGCTCCTTCCACGTCCGCGTTTCCCTGCCACTCTTTCTCGTCCCCCTGCTCCGCCTCGGCGGCCTCCTCTCTCAACCCCTGGGTCCGCGTCCTTCCCTCCCCTCCTCCACCCCTCCTCCCTTGCACCCGGTCTTGCAACCTCCCTGTCCTTCCCCTCCCTTGTCCCTTCCCCCCTCCTCCCTGCCCCCCGGTGGTCGCCTCCGCGGCGACCCCCGCGGACGGCCCGCCGACGGGCCCCGTCCCTCTCCCTCGTCGCGCTGGGGCCCCGCCCGTGCGCGGCGTCCAGTCTTCAGCAATAGAGGCCCCAGGTGATATCCAGGATTCCTCGGGGTTGTCTAAGGCATCTCGGGGAGTAAAACTTCCTCGCGCAGCTTACCGAAGGACTTGTATATATCGGGGGCGGAAAAGAGGGGGGTGATGACTAGGGGGGGGGTGGATATCATGGCGGGGGGCATGATATCTCCCCAGATTTCATGGCGCCTCTTCTTATTTCATTACGTTCCAGGCCCCCCCGCTGGGCCGCGCACATGCCGCCGGTCATGATTTGCACCCCCCCTCTTGGACACCCCCCTCTTTGCGGCTCCCGACCTCAGGGTTGTCGAAGGCATCTCGGGGAGTAAAGCTTCCTCGCGCAGCTTACCGAAGGACTTGTATGTATAACTATATATATATGCTTCCATCACCGTCGGGAATCCCACAGACAGTTGCAGGACACCAATCATGCCCTCTCGACGCCGAAGGAGCTCAACGGAGTCCCAGAACGCCTTTCGGATGTATTGCGAAGGCCTTACGGCCGGTGCCGCCGACCCTGCATGGCGACGAGAGCCACAACCACAACGACGAAGCTCTTGGGGGCCTCCTGGGGGTAGTTTGGGGGCCTCTTGGGAAGCTCTTGGGGGCCGCTTGGGAGCCTCGTGGGGGCCTCTTGGGGCTTCCTGGGGGTCTCTTGGGGGCCTCTTGGGGGCTTCTTGAGGGGCTTCTTAGGGGCCTCTGGGGGTCTCCTGAGAGCTTCTCAAGCCGATTGGCTCGAAATGTCCGTTCGGGTCCCCCGACTTGGCTCCCTCTTACAACCGTCTTGGGAGCCTCTTCGATTGTCTTGGAGGCCTCTTGGACGGTCTTGGAGCCCTCTTGGGTCATTCAAGGGCTCTCTTGGACCCCTCTTGGGCAATCTTGGGGCAGTCTTGGGGGCCTCTTGGCCTGTCTTGGAGCGTCGGGAAGCTGACAGGGCGAGAATGCCGACATCTTTCAAAAAGCTGAGGAAATCTATGATTTTTGTTTCTGGGAGCCCTCGTTGAAGTCCTCTTGGAGGCCTCTTGGGACATTTTGGAAACCTTTTGAGTCGTCTGGAGGCTACTTTGGCGTTGGACCGATACTTCGGCGAGTCGGGGCCCGATCGAGGACCGTCTTGGGGGCACATTGGGGAATTGTTGCCGCGTCTTGGGGCTTTTCTGGGCCCCCGAACCGCCATGGGGGGAGTCGTATCTGACCCGGGACTTCCCCGCGGGGACCCCCCCCCAGCGGGGAAGGGATCAAAGGGAAGGGTTTTCCCTTCGACTCCACTACAACGTTGCTCAATTTCGCTGTGACGTGGCTGGCGCGCTCGACGACGACAGCGACCACGACGACGACGACGAGTCAAACGGAACAGCCTCTTCCACGCGCCGACAGGGTCGGCGGATTTCTGGATATCCTAAGTGCTCGAATGAATCCTAGCGAATGTCCGAAGGACTCTGGCAGATTCCCCGTGTATCCTATGGATGACTTACGCCTTCCTTCAGGACTCGCACGTATGTTCTGGGACATCCGATGGTAATCGGAGGCTTCTCAAAGAGTTTGCAGCAACAGCTCCTAGCATTCCCAGAAGGGCCCGAGCGAGGCCCACCGAACTCCTGAACATATCAGGAACCATCGTAATTGTAAAACATTCCACGGCTGTCCGATGAAATCTGAAGTAGTCATGCAGCTTTATTGTGTTGTATTTGGTAGAGTTGCGGCCACTTGTGTCAGCGTTTGTTTCTGGAGCTGCAGCAGAGCAGTTCGAGTAGAGTTGCAGCTGCAGTGGGAACGCATTCGAAGGGAAGTTCCAGCAGGACTTGCTCAGGGTGGCAGCCCTTGGCACTGCCGTGAGATGGCAGTATGGCGGACGGAGGGTGGGGGCCTCCAGGATATCTTCCCCCGCGTTGTCTGTCATTGCGGTGCCTCCTGCGGCTTTGGCCCAGGGAGGGAGGGATGGAGGGGAGGGGAGGGGAGGGAGGAGGGAGGAGGGAGGAGGGAGGAGGAGGGAGGAGGAGGGAGGATGAGGGGAGGGCGAGGAGGAGTAGGAGGAGGAGGAGGAGGAGGAGGAGGAGGAGGAGGAGGAGGAGTAGGAGAAGGAGTAGGAGGAAGAGGAGGAGGAGGAGGAGGAGGAGGAGGAGGAGGAGGAGTTGTGCGATCCCACTGGCTGAAAGGTTGCCGCCGTCGGAGCTTTGGACCCTCCCCATCCCATCCCCCGAGGAGCTGCGGCGCCGGATGCTGGAGCCCGAGATCGGCGCTTACTTCAGCCAGCTCGGCATGGACGTCGACGAGGCGGCCCGGGAACGACGACGACGTCGTCGAGGCTCGGAATCCCTCGGGAGCCTTCGGAATCTTTGGGAATCCGTAGGAATTCCCAGGAGTCCTTGGGGATCCCTGGGAGTCCCGAGGAACTCCCAGGAAGCATCCCATGCGGGGCGGGCGGCGCGCGAGTGGGGCAGCGCTCGCCATGGGGGAAGCGGGTCCTGAGGGGAAACGGGTCCTGAGGCTTTTCGCCGTGCTCGGGCTTCCGGGGCCCTCCGCGGGTTCCCGGACTGCTGCCAGAAAACGACTCGGGGAGTAGAGCCAACGGGCACGACGGCGACGACGACGACGGCGACGACGGCGACGACGGCGACGACGATGACGACGGCGAAGACGACGTCGACGACGACGACAACGATGGCGGCGGCGGCGACGACGACGGCGTGACGATGGCGGCGGCGAAGACGGCGGCGACGACGACGGCGGCGACGACGGCGACGACGACGACCTGGACCCAGAATGCGCCCGGGTCGAAGTGAGCAGATACTCGTTTTGTTTCGGGCGATCCTCACCCGAGCACGCGAGGTGGGATCCCCATCGGCATCACCGATCTTACTCGGCCAATGTTCGTGTCGCCTTCCCCCAAGGGCGACGCGCGTGCGCACGAATCTTTACCTAACAGCGAAGACTGATAGGTTTCTAATGGGGCCAAAAGAGAGCATCTGATGACTCCCCAGGGGGGTCTGGCCGGGAGCCGGACAGGCGAGGGCCGGGCTCGTTTTAAGCAAACAGTCAGACTTTTCGTGCTCTTCGACCTCCCAGAACTCCATTCCCGGGCCACATTTTGAATGCCCGGAGCCAACTGTAGGCCACTTCGTGCTCTTCGACTTCCCAGAACTCCATTCCCGGGCCACATTTTGGATGCCTGGAGCCAACTTTAGGCCACATCGTGCTCTTCGACTTCCCAGAACTCCATCCCGGGCCACATTTTGAATGCCCAGAGCCAACTGTAGGCCACTTCGTTCTTGACTGTCCACAGTTCCCAGAACTCCATTCCCGGGCCACATTTTGATGCCCGGAGCCAACTGTAGGCCACTTCGTGGTCTTCGAGTTCCCAGAACTCCATTCCTGGGCATGATTTTGAATGCCCGGAGCCAACTGTAGGCCACTTCGTGTTCTTCGAGTTCCCAGAACTCCATTCCCGGGCCACATTTTGAATGCTGAGGCAGGCTGATGCTGAGGCAGGCTGAGGCTGAGGCAGGCTGAGGCTGAGGCAGGCTGAGGCTGAGGCCGAGGCTGAAGGCAGACTGAGGCTGAGGCTGAAGCAGGCTGAGGCTGAGGCTGAGGCAGGCTGAGGCTGAGGCTGAGGCAGGCTGATGCTGAGGCAGGCTGAGGCTGAGGCTGAGGCTGATGCAGGCTGAGGCTGAGGCAGGCTGAGGCTGAGGCCGAGGCTGAAGGCAGACTGAGGCTGAGGCTGAAGCAGGCTGAGGCTGAGGCTGAGGCAGGCTGAGGCTGAGGCTGAGGCAGGCTGATGCTGAGGCAGCTGAGGCTGAGGCTGAGGCTGATGCAGGCTGAGGCTGAGGCAGGCTGAGGCTGAGGCCGAGGCTGAAGGCAGACTGAGGCTGAGGCTGAAGCAGGCTGAGGCTGAGGCTGAGGCAGGCTGAGGCTGAGGCAGGCTGAGGCTGAGGCAGGCTGAGGCTGAGGCTGAGGCTGATGCAGGCTGAGGCTGAGGCAGGCTGAGGCTGAGGCCGAGGCTGTAGGCAGACCGAGGCTGAGGCTGAAGCAGGCTGAGGCTGAGGCTGAGGCAGGCTGAGGCTGAGGCTGAGGCTGAGGCAGGCTGATGCTAGGCAGGCTGAGGCTGAGGCTGAGGCTGATGCAGGCTGAGGCAGGCTGAGGCTGAGGCCGAGGCTGAAGGCAGACTGATGCTGAGGCTGAAGCAGGCTGAGGCTGAGGCTGAGGCAGGCTGAGGCTGAGGCCGAGGCAGGCTGATGCTGAGGCAGGCTGGGGCTGAGACTGAGGCTGATGCAGGCTGAGGCTGCGGCAGGCTGAGGCTCAGGCCGAGGCTGAAGGCAGACTGAGTCTGAGGCTGAAGCAGGCTGAGGCTGAGGCTGAGGCAGGCTGAGGCTGAGGCTGAGGCAGGCTGAGGCCGAGGTAGGCTGAGGCTGAGGCTGAGGCTGAGGCAGGCTGAGGCTGAGGCTGAGCCTGCGGGCAGACTGAGGCTGAGGCCGAAGCAGGCTGAGGCTGAGGCTGAGGCAGGCTGAGGCTGAGGCTGAGACTGAGGCAGGCTGAGGCTGAGGCTGAGGCTGAGGCAGGCTGAGGCTGAGGCCGAGGCCGACGGCAGACTGAGGCTGAGGCTGAAGCAGGCTGAGGCTGAGGCAGAGGCAGGCTGAGGTTGAGGCTGATGCAGGTTGATGCTGAGGCAGACTGAGGCTGAGGCTGAGGCTGATGCAGGGTGAGGCTGAGGCAGGCTGAGGCTGAGGCCGAGGCTGAAGGCAGACCGAGGCTGAGGCTGAAGCAGGCTGAGGCTGAGGCTGAGGCAGGCTGAGGCTGAGGCTGAGGCAGACTTAGGCTGAGGCTGTGACTGCGACTGCCGTTGCCGCTGCGACTGTCATCGCGAATGCGACTACGACTGCGAGAACAGCAGAATTCTACAACTGGGTTCTCATTTGAATCTTAAGGGGAATGCTTCCAGATATGCTCCTACACATCGCTGTTAGGTTGCTTTGCCGGGATAATTTGTTTGTGGTCGGTGGCGGGCGCTTTCTGGCCAAGCCGCCTGGATAACGACATTATACAGTATGTTTGTGCGAGATGGTCTTTTCGGACGAACCCCTCCAATAGAAACACATAGTACTAGGCAGAGTGAGGGGGCCGAACGGACATTCATTGCTCCTGGGTGCGTGGCTGTAGTGTCGGTCCGTGGTGAGGATTATGTTTGTTGCGTTGTTGTTGGTGGTGGTGTTGTTCTTGTTGTTGGTGGTGGTGTTGTTGTTGTTGGTGGTGTTGTTCCCCACATGTTTCGTGGGGTTATGGTTTTCTTCCCTGCCGCGTCGCACCCGCGTCTCCTCACACTTCCCCTCCTCCCTCCTCCCCTCCTCCATCGCACTGCATGGCAGGAGGCTCTATGCGGGCCATGGCGCAGGGCACGGCAGGCATGGCACTTTCTCGTTACCAGAGGGGGTGCGCAAGGGGTGGTCCCTCAGCGCGGCCTCTACGCGTGCCAGTCTCGCAGGACGTGGCAGGCGTGGCAGTTCCTCGACGCCACAGGGGGTGCGCCGGGGGTGGTTGCCCTATCCGTTTCGGGCTCGGAACGCGCTGCAGGCGTGGCATTTCCTCGACACCACAGGGGGTGCGCTGGGGGGGGGGTCTCCCAATCTGTTTCGGGCTCGCAAAGCGTGGCAGGCGTGGCACTTCCTCGACGCCACAGGGGGTGCGCTGGGGGTGGTCCCCCTATCCGTTTCGGGTTCGCAAAGCGTGGCAGGCGTGGCAGTTCCTCCACACCACAGGGGGTGCGCTGGGGGTGGTCTCCCTATCCGTTTCGGGCTCGGAACGCGCTGCGGGCGTGGCAGTTCCTCGACACCACAGGGGCTGCGCTGGGGGGGGGTCTCCCTATCCGTTTCGGGCTCGCAAAGCGTGGCAGGCGTGGCACTTCCTCGACGCCACAGGGGGTGCGCTGGGGGTGGTCCCCCTATCCGTTTCGGGCTCGCAAAGCGTGGCAGGCGTGGCAGTTCCTCAACACCACAGGGGGTGCGCTGGGGGTGGTCTCCCTATCCGTTTCGGGCTCGCAAAGCGTGGCAGGCGTGGCACTTCCTCGACACCACAGGGGGTGCGCTGGGGGTGGTCTCCCTATCCGTTTCGGGCTCGCAAAGCGTGGCAGGCGTGGCACTTCCTCGACACCACAGGGGCTGCGCTGGGGGTGGTCTCCCTATCCGTTTGGGTCTTGCAAAGTGTGGCAGGCGTGCCGCTTCCTCGACAACAGAGGGGGTGCGCTGGGGGTGGTCTCCCTATCCGTTTCGGGCTCGCAAAGCGTGGCCGGCGTGGCACTGCCTTGACATCTCAGGGGTCGCGCTGGGGGTGGTCTCCCCATCCGCTTCGGGTTCGCAATGCGTGGCAGTTGTGCCACTTCTTCGACACCACAGGGGCTGCGCTGGGGGTGGTCTCCCTATCCGCTTCGGTCTCGCAAAGCGTGGCAGACGTTGCACTTCCTCGACACCACAGGGGGTGCGCTGGGGGTGGTCTCCCTATCCGTTTCGGGGTCGCAAAGCGTGGCAGGCGTGGCACTTCGTCCACATCGCAGGGGGGACGCTGGGGGTGGTCTCCCTATCCGTTTCGGGCTCGCAAAGCGTGGCAGGCGTGGCAGTTCCTCGACACCACAGGGGCTGCGCTGGGGGGGGTCTCCCTATCCGTTTCGGTCTTGCAAAGCGTGGCAGGCGTTGCACTTCCTTGACAACACGGGGGGTGCGCTGGGGGTGGTCTCCCTATCCATTTAGGGCTCGCAAAGCGTAGGCGTGGCACTTCCTCGACACCATAGGGGTTGCGCTGGGGGTGGTTGCCCTATCCGTTTCGAGTTCGCACAGCGTGGCAGGCGTGGCAGTTCCTCGACACCAGAGGGGCTGCGCTGGGGGTGGTCTCCCTATCCATTTCGGGCCCGCAAAGCGCGGCAGGCGTGGCATATCCTCGACACCACAGGGGGTGCGCTGGGGGTGGTCTCCCTATCCATTTCTGTCTTGCAAAGCGTGGCAGGTGTGCCACTCCCTCGACACCATAGGGGCTGCGCTGGGGGTGGTCTCCCTATCCGCTTCGGTCTTGCAACGCGTGGCAGACGTTGCACTTCATCGACACCACAGGGGGTGCGCTGGGGGTGGTCTCCCTCTCCGTTTCGGGCTCGCAAAGCGTGGCAGGCGTGGCACTTCCTCGATATCTCAGGGGGTGCGCTGGGGGTGGTCGCCCTATCCGTTTCGGATTCGTAAAGCGTGGCAGGAGTGGCACCTCCTCGACACCATAGGGGCTGCGCAGGAAGTGGTCCCGGA